CAACATATATACAAGGTACGTGTATGTTTAACGGGGGAGGGGGCTGACAACAGATATACAAGGTACGTGTATGTTTAATGGAGGAGGGAGTGCTAACAACAGATATACAAGGTACGTGTATGTTTAATGGGGGCGGGGGCTGACAACAGATATACAAGGTACGTGTATGTTTAACGGGGGAGGGGACTGACAACAGATATACAAGGTACGTGTATGTTTAATGGGGGAAGGGACTGACAGCAGATATACAAGGTACGTGTATGTTTAATGGAGGAGGGAGTGCTAACAACAGATATACAAGGTACGGGTACGTTTAACGGGGGAGGGGACTGACAACAGATATACAAGGTACGTGTATGTTTATCTGGGGGTGGAGTGTCTGGGCTTTGCGTGACTATATAGCTCGTTCAAAGTTAGCGCTCAGAAATTTTTGTGTTTTCTACTTTTAAGGTTAGCTTTGCGTTCGTTTTTTCCTCGATTTACGCTCGCGGCATTTCTGTAACGTAGCAAAGATGTCGGCATGCCAGAGTAGTGCGCTTTGCACGGTTTGCCATTTTACAGCAGGAAAGGCAACCGTTTCTGCTGTTCTAATGCTGCTAATTAATCAAATCATAATTCTACTCGCGGCGGTGTGGAATAAAACTTCAACGCGTGCTCGTTTCTGTTTTCTGTTCACGAATAATATACATAATTCCGTAGAATTGATTTAACCACAGTAATGTACAGACGCTTATCTACTATGTTTTATAAAAGAGTGGCCACATACAACAAAATATGAATTCGAAGATTTCATTTTTCAATTTGATCCTTTACTGCAGTCGTAAAGTCGAAAGTTTTGCGTGAACGCGTGGAAACACGTACAATCTGCTTTAGTTTGACCGACCTAGCAACAATATCCAAAGATGTTATTTATGGGGTTATCTTGCTCGGACGGACGAATCAATGAGCCGAGGTTCTTCGATAAGGAATATTAATAAGGAATAAGAAATCAAAGTTGTGCTTGCTAGTCGTGCAAATAATGCTGGGAGTTTGACTACCATGCTGCCAATCACTGTGTGCCGTAACGATAAACGCACGAAATCGCTGATAATCGATACCGATCGATACTCACTGAAATCGTCCGGGTTGAACAGGAACGGCACGGGCTTGCTAGCGTCCCAGCGGTGTGCCGAGTCGTCGATGAACTTCCGTTTGCGACGGACAGGTGGCGCGTCGAACGTTTCGAGCATGTGGATGGCCTGGGCTTCGTTGATGACCATGTCTCCCTCTACGACGCCATCCTCCTCGTAGGCTGCCGATGCCTGCGTGCGACATAACCACACACACGTGAGGATCACGTCGAAGGAAGGCAAGCGGGGAACTGCATGGGTCAAGCCGCTGCTCATATGAGATGCGTTTTGGATTAGTCTATAGGACGAGGATTATGGTTATGGTTACGGTTAGGGTAATAATTAGGGTGGGGCTGGGGTTAGGTTAGGGTTATTGTTAGGATAAGGTTTAGGGTTTGTGTACGGATCAGGGTTTGAGTTAGGTTTAAAGATGTTATGGAAGGGTCAGTGTTAGAGTTAAGGTTAGGATTATGGTTAGGGTTAGGATTATGGTTAAGGTTAGCGTTTAAGTTATGGTTAGAGTTACGGTTAAGTTTAGCATTATAGTGATGATGTGCGATGATGTATGTACATACGGACTACGGAGGCACATAAAGTAGCACTAAGTCGCAAACACAAGAAAATAAATAACAACGCGTTGATTTCGATTGTGTACGTAGCGATGCTATTATGTGTATGTTACAGCGTTAGTTGAGATGCATGAGGAGGTGATGAACTTCGTGTCTAGCAACTGAAGCTCTATGAGGTGGGCGCCGCTACCATTTAAACCCACGTGGAAATATCGATAGGTTGAGATTAATAGTCAGCCTGGATATTTTTATTATATATTTATATATTAATTTTATAATTTAATATTAATTTGTTTCTTATATTATTATGTTATATATATGTTATTAAATTATTATTATTATACATGTTCTATATATAATTATTTTATATATGTTTTTAAATGCTGATGGTGATGATAATGTTAAAGATGATAACGATGACGACGACGACGACGACGACATTGATGATTATGATGGTGACGATGATGATGACGATGACGATGATAAATAGTAAGAACAAAGATTAGTTTTTATATAATTTTTTAATTTTAACACTTTATTTTTGACTACGGGTGTCATCATATATGCACTGTTTAAAAATAGAAACATACAGATAGAACTAGGCCGTATTAAAACGACATTAACGTGGTGATATTTCGTTACAGTGCTTGCTAGCAAATTTTAGATTCTGCCATCCGGATATCCGTGGTCATGCAAAAATATTGTCATTTAAGCAAAAATCGATCCCGGGAATGATGAGTGATGTGGAAATTATTCCGTGCAATTTCATTAATGTTTGAAGTCAGGCGTAAGATTATTACACACGCACATATAAATCACACACACACGCGCACACACAAACACGCATGCGTCGCACACACACACACACGCACGCACACACACACGCACAAACATACTCACACAAACACAATTATAAGACCAACTTGGCTTGTTCGGATAATCGTGTGTTGCTCACGAAATAAAATTTCACACTAATTACATAAAATCCCGAGTAATCACGTGACGTGCACTCAACAACCGCGCTATAGATTACCGTTCCCAGGCTCGTAGCCTGAGCAAATTCCTTGGCGTTGGCAAAATGTTCTCACTTAGTTGGGCAATGACGAGGAAGCGACCGAGCTACCAATGAAAATGTATTGTGTATGTATCTATGGCTGGTGCCATGCAAGGGTTTCACGTGACTACACTGCGATTCACAGGCGTTTTATTTATACTTATCAGGCGTTTATTATATACACTTCACCCAAACTATACAGAGGTGCTGTCCACTCTAGAGGCGACGGAATGCGTGGATACATTATCACACCAATTAGTTTGAATATCACTGCGACGTTCAATTACGCATATGTTCGAATCATCCTGGAGGTTATATCGGATAGAAATTACCGGGTGATACAATCAGGAGTTAATAATAACAAATAATAATGACAATTTGTTATTAATAACCCCTGATACAATATATGCACGCGTTACACGGCATCGTTCTCCACACACTAAACGGCATGTTGCTGCTGATACTGTTGCGGCTGCTGCTGATACTGCTGATACTGCTGATACTGCTGCTGCTGCTGCTGATACTGCTGATACTGCTGATACTGCTGCTGCTGCTGCTGATACTGCTGCTGCTGATACAGCTGATACTGCTGATACTGCTGATACTAGAGTGGAGTAGGGAGAGGAGGACTGGAGGCTCGGGAAGAGGAAGGGGAGGAGAGGGGGAGGAGAGTGGAGTAGGGAGAGGAGGGCAGGATGCGCGGAAGAAGGGAGAGGAGGAAAGGGGTGATAGGAGGCGCGGAAGGAGGGAGGGGAGGAGAGGGGAGTAGGGAGAGGAGGTCAGGAGGCGCGGGTGGAGGAAGGGGAGGGGGACGGCCAGGGAGCCGAAGGGAGGGAATCACCAGGGAGTAGGGATGAGAGGGGAGCAAACGCGGGAGGGGGAGGGGAGTAGTGAGGGGAGGGAAGGCTGCGGGGAAGGGGAGTAGAGAGGAGAGGGGAGGAGGTGTTTGTTTTTACTCTCAGAAATGTTTGAAAGAAACTACGCCTAGCTGTATATGGGTAACCGTCTTGGGAATCCGTAAATGTTTCGAGGAGGGATGACGACAACGATGACGATGCGAGAATGGCCCAAATATATCTTTCGGTTGGTTAATATACTAATGGACAAAACACAACCTAATGGAACGGGTGAAAAACGCACTTACGCGAACCTCACTGATGACTCAGAAATATACTGAAACGTACAACTTTTATCGATCCGATCGAGTCTACATAAAGTTTCCCCCTCATCTTCCAACAATCATATCGACGAAATGTCCTCATGTCATCAAAGTGTCGTAAAGTCGCACTTGTAAAGATTCTTGCCATTTCGTGTTTACAGCTAGATCATTTCGGCACTTCGGTGCACCCCTGTCATTTTCGCCGAAAGAATGTTATATGTTTCTTATAAGCCGGCCGCTTGCGGATATCCGCGCTTGTAATAACGACGCATAGGTTTTAAAGTTGAGTAAAACGAGTGAGCTGTGAACAAATCTAATGCCCGCGGTCACGTTCTGCTAGTGTGTATAACAATCCTGTATCCGCCTCCCCACACATACACGCACATACACTGTCACTTTCGGCCAGGTGGCAGCAGCACTGGTCACTCCCGGCTAGGTGGCAGCAGCATTGGTCACTTCCGGCCAGGTGGCAGCAGCACTGGTCACCCTCCACCAGGTGGCAGCAGCAGACCGAAATCTGGTCACACGCCTCCAGGCGGCAGCAGCAGTTCGAGCGCTGCAGAGCAGTGGTCAGTCGCTAGGCAGCTGAGGCTTCTGACATTTGAACGACAACCTGAATACTACAATTGTCAGAATGACTGACATTCGAATGACTACTCAAGTACTGCAGTTGTATCTGCTCATTTGTCATCTCGTCATCATCATATCGTAGGTTATCTATCGGATCCCTTAAACACACATCACTTAATCACCAACGAGATGTGCGAATGTCGTAGAACAGTGACAAGTCATGCACTATACAGTTATATTGTTCGTCGTTAATCAGTATATGTACACAGATACGGCACGCCGCGTGCCTATTTACAGCCCGAGGGCCTACGGTAGAACACTGTCTATGCCCATCTATCTTACCGTGGTTCGGAGCATTTTCCGGATACGACTCCTGCACGCGTGTCCGAAACCAGTCAAACATACGTCCATATCTAGGCACCAACCTGACTACGGCCGCGCGTATCTGTCCGTGTAGGCGTTCGCTCGACACACCATGCACAGGTGTTTGAGCACAGCAGTTCATCAATTACTACAGACTTCGAGCAGACTTGGCACGATGTGTGAGCCCTTACGAAACACCCTAAGCAACGCTGCAGGACATGTAGGCAATGCGCGCGTCTGCCCGCCGACTGGCGTGTACACGCCTCTAACTCTCTAGCTGTAATACCGTGGTCTACTGATAATGCACAACACGTCTTGTGCGTAAAGAATATCGACTACGCGTATATATGCCTGTGAGCTGTAGTACCGTCGTATACCGCTAGGCGTCTGCAATAAGACATGCGTGTCCCGCACCTATGTCATATATATATATGACGAGTTGAGCTTTGGTTTTCGAATCTGCATAAAGTTTTCCACTCTGCCGAAAAGGGGATATTCCAATATCGACTGCTTCTTGAGATTTAATGTATCTCCAAAATGTTCTTGAGTTATTCTCTTTGAGACTGAGATTGAGGATTTGGTTCAGATATACCCGATGTGATTGGTTTATTAATTTCCGAACGAGTTTCTTCTGTGTTTTATACCGGGAGTGTGCTGTCCGCACTGCGGGTTTTGATATTGTCATTTTGTGGTGAAAACGAGACGGCTTGCTTATTTTCTTGATCGCTTTTTCGTTGATTTGCTCCATTCACCCGATGCGTTCTAGCTTATTGATTTCCTTTTTATCACTTTATGTGGTGATAAAATTTCTGGATTTATGCTAATGCATTACCGTGCCTTGAATTTTGGTTCAGTTTCCATTGACCAACTCCGTTGGTCGTGGAACAGCTGGTCGGTGCTCGAGGGAAACCGCTTATATTATTATATACATTGGCCAGAGCTATTCGCGTATAGATATTAATATAGTATAGTATGGTATAGTATGAGTATAGTATAGTAAGATATAGGTATTAGTATAGTATCAGTATAGATATAGTATTAGTATAGCTTATAGTAATAGAATATTAGTTATAGTATAGTATAGTATCAGATATAGATATAGTCTATAGTATAGATATAGTCATAGATATTGTATAGTATAGCTATTAGTGTATAGTCATATATAGTATAGCTATAGTATAGATATAGTAATAGTATAGTTATAGTATAGTATAGTATCAGCTAGACCATAGCATAGGCGGTTGGCATAGCATAGCATAGCATAGACATAGCAGTAGGCATAAGCTGGGCATAGAAATAGCATAGTCATAGACATAGCATAGATAGCATAGGCATAGCATAGGATTAGCATAGCATAGGCGCATAGCATGCCATAGTATTGTATGATATTAGCTGATAGATATAGTATCAGTATAGCGTATAGTATAGTATAGGTATAGTATAGTATAGTATAGTATAGCTATAGTATTAGTATGTATAGTTGTGTTACTAGGTATAGAGTATAGATATAGTATAGTTATAGAATATAGTATAGTAGAGTATTAGTAATAGTTGTATAGATATAGTATACGTTACAAGTTAGAGGGATATAGTCACAGTACGAGTACAGTACAGTACAGTTACAGTACAGTACAGTGTAAGTACAGTGTGTTAGTTATAGTTAGTACAGTACAGTACATATAGTTAGTATAGTATAGCTATAACTATTAGGGGATATAGTATAGTATAGTATAGTATAGTTATATAAGCTAAGAGTCTTATTAGTATAGTTAGTTTATGTATGTATTAGCCATATAGTCATAGCTATGTAGTATAGCATATAGATATAGTAGTAGTATAGTATAGTCTGGGAGTATTAGTATAAGTATAGATAGATATAGATAATTAAGTTATAGGTATAGTATAGTATAGTATAGATTATAGCGTCATAGGGTATAGGGACGGTATGGTTATGGTATGGATAATATGGTATGGTATGGTAGTACTATTGGGGGTATGTACTGGTATGGTATCGCGTATGGTATGGTGATGGTATGGTCTAATATGGCGGGTATGTATGGTATGCGTATGCGCTATTTGGTATGGTATGTATGGTTCATGCGGTATGGTATGGTTTATGGATGCGAGTGTATGTTATGGTATGGGTATCGGTAGTGGTATGTATGGTATGGTATGGTATGGTATGTGTTATGCGGTTATGGTATGGTACTGGTAATGGTATGGATATGGTATGGTACTAATGGTATGGTATGGTATGGCTATGGTATGGTATGGTATGGTATGTATGGTATGGTATGGTATGGTATGCGTTGGTAATGTATGGTATGGTATGGTATGGATATGTATGGTAATTATGGTATGGTGATATGGTATGTCATGGTATGGTTATGGTTATATGGTATTGGTATGTATTGGATAGGGGTGGTATGGGGGAATGGCTATGGTATGGTACTGGATATGGTATTGCGTATGTATGGTATCGCGTATGGTATGGTATGGTATGCGTTATGGTATGGCTATTGGTATGTGGTATTTTTATGTGGTATGGTATGGTCTTTGTATGTGATGCGTATTGGTATGGTATTGCGTATGGTAATGGTATTATGGTATTGGTATTGGTATAGTATAGTATTAGTTATAGTATGTAGTATAAGTATCAGTATAGTTATAGTTATAGCAAGTATAGTATAGGTATAGTATGAGTATAGTACGTATAGTATAGTATTAGTATAGCTATACATAATTTATTGTTATATTCTTGTATAGTTATAGTTTATACTGTCCGTGTTATACTATAGTGCTTGCGATTTTACTATTTGATCTCCCACCCAAAAAACTGCGCGCCGTTGAGTTTGTCAAAGACAGCTTTTACACAGAAAAAAAACATTCAGTTCGGGCGTGGATTCGAGGGAGAGCAGTTACGTACTCTAGTTTTC